GATGATCACTGCTATGTTGGCTAACTTCGTCTGTTTTAGCTGCTTTATAAAGAAGGAGTGAAGAAGGAGCTGCAGAGTCCAGTTTACCACCAGCTTCCTGAAACTCTGGAGACGCAGTTCGCCCGCGAGGTCGGCCACATGCAGAGCCAGGTACGAGCAAACAGAGGGGGAGGAGCTTAAAGTCACCTGGTTACAGGTACCAGCAAACAGAGGGGGAGGAGCTTAAAGTCACCTGGTTACAGGTATGAGCAAACAGAGGGGGAGGAGCTTAAAGTCACCTGGTTACAGGTACCAGCAAACAGAGGGGGAGGAGCTTAAAGTGACAGACTAACATCCAGCAGGAACACAGGAAACGTTCAACATGGATCCCAGATGGATAACATTTAGTATAAAAGTTTTTAAAATCCATATCAACCTTTAATTTGTGTTAAAAATCTGAATCTGTTCAGGATCCAAATTCAACAAACAACAAAGAAAATCAAACACCAAATAAACCTAAATATGCTTTAATACACACAGTGGAAACTGTCTTAGGTTTTATGGATCAGCAAATTTATCTTCTGATTTTATATTTCTATTTGCTGTTGCATCTTTACTGATCCAAACTGGTAAAAACTATCTGCTCTGCATAAAATTATGGAATATTTCTTCACTATTTTGTCTGTTTCTGACTGAAATGTAAGAATTTTTTTCCTGAAGTTGTTTTAAGGTTTAGTTTCCTCAAACTACAGATGGAAATTAAACTAAGAAACAATAATGAGGCAGAAAGTTTGGAGGAAAAGAGAGAAAACATCTTCAGGGTGACAGCTGGTCCTGCATTTAATAATAATAATAATAATAATAATAATGATAATAATGATAATGTTCCTCTGACTGTAGCACAGATACACAGCCGAAGGGAAGCAGCTTCTCTCTCAGAGCGTTTTCTCTCAGCTGCCAGAAACCAGCGACATCAAGTCGGCTAAAGCTGCTTCTGAGCTGCAGAGCGAGGTGAGAGCAGAAACCTCTGGGTCCTCTTCATCACAAATCAGAAGAGCTGATGATGAAGAGCTGATGATGAAGAGCTGACGCTGCTGCAGGTTCAGACGGTTCATCTCTGTTTCAGGTCAAGTACAGGTCGTCTGGCCGGCAGCAGGACGGCAGCAGCTTCTTCTCTGTGATGCCAGAAACTCTGGAGACTCAACATGCCAAGCAGGTTTCTGAGATGCAGAGCCAGGTACACACACACACACACACACACACACACACACGCTGAGAGAGGCTAACTAACCCTCTTATCTTAGCCTTAGAGGAAGCTGCAGTACCCAGAGAGAACCTTCTTGTTCTGGTTTTACAGTAATTTGTTGCTGACTCAGCTGTCATGTTATAATTTATTATTTTTTTATCAGTTTCCATAACGAGATGCTTAGTTTTAAGCTGTGACTCTAACAGCAGCCGGTGTTGCTGGATGGATCAGCTGCTGCCTGAGTTTCCTGCTGTTTCTACCAGCTGCTCGTTTCTTCGTCTGTCAGGTGAAATATAAATCGGACCTGAAGCAGCTGCAGTCCAGTTTGTTCTCCAGCCTTCCTGAGACGCTGCAGACCCAACGGGCCAAAGAAGTGACTGACCTGCAGAGCCAGGTGAGCAGCTGGCCGGTCTGCAGGTAAAACAGCAGAGAGTGAAAATAGAAAGATATGATAATATCATCTGGATGAACCTGATGATGAAATGACTTCATCGTGTTTTAAAGTTCAGATGAATTTATCACCAACAACCTCAAACTGATACTTTAATCTTTTCAACTTTTCCTTTTTATTCATGTTCATGTTTGTAGCTGAAGACATTTTTATTCATTTTCATGTCCAACATAGAGAAATATGTTAAAAAGTGTAAGAAAGCAGCAGAAGAAGCTACAGCTAATACTCAGGATGAATTCACTACATGACGTCATAAAATGAAGGATTAGAGGAGAAATGTTTAGAGTTCAGGAAACATGAAGACCCAGCAAACCGACACCCTGTGGAGAGATTTAAAAGTTATTTACTGTAAACTGTCAGATCATTATAATAAACATAAAGATGGCAGCATCAGATAAATACTGGACTTTCTGTTCTGGCTCTGAGAAACAGATTCCAACTATTCACCAGAATAACTTTATTTATATTATTTATACTTATATTAGTTCAGTGATTTCTCCTCATAATCAGGCTTTACTTCTTATACATTAAAATAAATACTTAGAGATTGTTGGTTCATCTGCAATTTTTCATGACATGTCTTTTTTTTCCTTAAATGTACAGAATCTCACAGCTTTTATGATTTATTTAATGCTAGACATTCATTAGATGAGCTCAGTGTTACCCTGTTGCTGCTGCAGGTGAAGTACAAGGAAGGCAGTCAGAAGGATTCATCGTCTCTGTACCAGCTGCTCTGTGAGACGCCGGAGACGCAGCTGAGCCGGCAGGTGATGGAGGTCCAGAGCGAGGTGTGACTCGGCTCTCTGAAACCTGCTGCTGCTCTCTTCCTCTCTGTCTCTCTTCCTCTCTGTCTCTCTGTCTCTCTTCCTCTCTGTCTCTTCCTCTCTGTCTCTCTGTCTCTCTTCCTCTCTCTCTCTCTTCCTCTCTGTCTCTCTTCCTCTCTGTCTCTCTGTCTCTCTTCCTCTCTGTCTCTCTTCCTCTCTGTCTCTCTCTCTCTCTTCCTCTTCCTCTCTTCCTCTCTCTCTCTTCCTCTCTGTCTCTCTTCCTCTCTGTCTCTCTTCCTCTCTGTCTCTCTTCCTCTCTGTCTCTCTTCCTCTCTGTCTCTTTTCCTCTCTTCCTCTCTGTCTTTCTGCTCAGCTGCTCCTGTTCTGCAGGTGAAGTACAGGAACAGGATCAGGGATTTATTAAATATATTTGTTATTTTTCTGTGTCCTAGTCAAAGTACCGGAAGGACCTGGAGGATTTGCCCTGCTCTCTGTTCTCTCTGCTGCCTGAAACCTTACAGACGCAGTTTGCTAAAGAAATGGCCGAGACGCACAGCGAGGTGAAAACCTGCAGCTTAACATCAGATAAGATTTAAAAATACATTTAAAGCTCCAAACATGCTGACGTCTGATTGGTCTGCTGCTGATAAATCTGACCAATGAAGTCAGAGAACGCTCCAGCAGCAGATAGAGGTCAGAGGTCAGAGGTGATAAGGAGGCTGACTGGTCCGTCTCTCCTGTCAGGTGAAGTACAAGCAGGCGGCGAAGGAGCAGACGGCGTCTCCTCTTTACTCCTCGCTGCCTGAAACCCTGGAGACGCGACGCGCTAAAGACGCTGCGGCGCTGCAGAGCCAGGTGAGTTTCTGTCCTCCCTGTTCCTCCAGTCTGACTCCACCAGCAGATAAATGGACTGACTGCGTCGCTCTGGACCTTCGTCTCAACAGAAAAAATACTCAGAAGAAGGAAGGAAGGAGATGAGCTGCCCACTGTACGCCCAGCTGGCTGAAACGGCAGAAACTCAGTTTGCCAGAGAGGTGACAGAAATCCAGAGTGAGGTACGGTTCAGACCTTCCTCATGCTGATCAGGTTTCAGTTTGGTTACGATCCGGTCTGGAGGTCACGACCTTCAGCCAGAAGAGGTGGGCTGATCTCACCAGAGACGGACGGATCTCTGATGGTTCTGGTCCCGTCTGTAGAGGTCTGGATTCATTCTGACCTCCATCTGTGGTTCTGGATCCAAACGGCTGAAATGGACTCTGAAAACATGTTTGGTTCTCTGGAAACAGACTTCAGTTCGTTTCCTCCGTTGGTCTGAACTCTGACCCGAATCCTGGTTCAAACCAAACAACCAGAACCTGGGCTGGTCTCGGTCTGCTGGTCCAGTTCTGGTGTGAACACTGTCCAGCCTGGATCCAAACAGGACATTTACGTCTCTTTGGACTTCATGAGCCACCGTAGCTGGGCGTCATGGTGTGACCATGAGCATTTCAGTGCTGCTGCTGCTGCAGGTTCTGATTGGACTGGATGGTACCTGGTCCTGTTTTCTGCTTAGCGACGCCGGCAGCAGGTTGTGGGTCAGAACATGCAGAACATCTTGTCTCATTCAGCTGCAGCAGAATTTACTGACACTAATTCAGATTTATCTAATTCCAAAATGAGAAAAATCTCAACATGAAACATTTTGAATGATCTGCTTATGAAACGGCACAAATGTGAACAACAGAAATGCAGCACAAAATATCTCCATGTTAGTTCAGCTTCTGGGTCTGTGTTCTGTTCTGACCCGACATTTCTGCCTAATGGGACAAAATATCATCACCTGCATGGCTCAGTTTACAGACTATCAAAAAGCACAATGTGAAAGCAAACTGGAGCAAAAGAAGGAAATAAAGTTCAGTTTTGGTTCGGATCAAACAAACGGACCGTCTGGTGTGAACAGAACCCGGGTCCAGAACCCAGAATGAGCTGCAGGTTGAGGAGCCTCCAGGTTTCCCTTCTGGGTCTGATGTGCACATTTTGAAGTTTGCTACTTCCTGAACAGTAACGTAGTTTAAAGATGTAGCTGATAGATAAAATATTTTTCTGTCTGGTTTTAAATCTCCAGAACAAATATAAGGAAGGAGGGAAGAAGGTCCAGACGCTCAGCGTTTACTCGCAGCTCCCAGAAACCAACCAGACCCAGTTTGCTAAAAACGTCTCTGAAATCCAAAGTGAGGTAAAACCAAAAGTTTTCTGGGACCAAACTCTGAAGCTGAAATGTGTGTCTGTCTCTTTAAATCCTGCTGTCGCGTTTCAGGTGAAATATAAAGAGTCAGGAAAAAAAGAAACGTCCAGCAGTTTGTACTCGAAGCTTCCTGAGACTCTGGAGACGCAGCACGCTAAAGACGCTACGCAGCTGCAGAGCCAGGTGCGCATCTTCATCCCTCGTCTTCATCGCTCCTCTTCCTCTCTGATATCAGTTTGTGTTTCCAGGTGAAGTACAAGCAGCCGCTCAGCGTCTCTCTGTTCCACCGCCTGCCTGAGACGACGGAGACGCAGCTGGCCAAGGAGCTGAGAGACGTTTACAGCCAGGTAAACCCTCAGCCGGGTCACCGTGGCGTCGCCATGGAGACGCTGCAGTCAGCTGCGATTGGTTGATTCCCCCAGGTGAAGTACAGAGAGGAGGGACAGAAGGAGCTGAGCAGGAGCCTTTACTCCCGCCTCCCGGAGACGGAGGAGACGCAGCGGGCCAGAGAGACGGCCGAGATCCAGAGCCAGGTGATGAAGGACCCTGAACGCATCATTCAGCGTCTGTCTGTCTGTCTGTCTGTCTGTTGATGGATGAAATGTTTTAAATTTTGACATAAAAATGTTTTTCAACATTAATAGTTAATGAATCTTCATTTGTTTGTGTCCTCATACAGCTGATATCAGAGGTTAATTAAATATATTTGTTATTTTTCTGTCCTAGTCAAAGTACAGGAAGGACCTGGAGGATCTGCCCAGCTCTCTGTTCTCTCTGCTGCCTGAAACTCTGCAGACGCAGTTTGTTAAAGAAATGGCCGAGACGCACAGCGAGGCGAGGCAGAAATGTTTTTATTCATATTTTTACTTCATGTGTTCATTTTAGATGAATGTCTGAATGACAGAGTTTAGTTACAGAAACAACTTGTTTCTTTGTCAGTCAGTAAACTCGTGTATTTGTGTTAGTTTCACTTCATGTAGAGCCTGAATATTTTCTCTGGATGCTTTATTTGCTGTTTGTCTGGAGGCGGCTGAAGGTCTCTGTCCGTCTGCAGGTTAAATACCGGGAGGCCAGCAGGACGGACAGCAGCCGCGCTCTGTTCCACCGGCTGCCCGACACGCTGGAGACGCAACGCGTTAAACACGTTACTGAGCTGCAGAGCCAGGTGAACACATGAATTATTCACCCCTCCACTTTTCAGCCCTGAATATTTCAGCATCAAACATCAGAGCGGCTCGTTCCCGCCATCCTTATCCAGAGCTCAGCTGTTCTCTGGTTTAAAAACAAAGTTCAGATTTTTTTCTCTCAGTGAAGCTGGAGCTGCAGACAAACTTTAATGTCAGAATCATTTCATTTCTCTACAGTTTGTGAGAAGAACTGAACCAGAACCAAACATCTGGAGCTTTTATGTATTAAAAATCAGATTCTGGAGAAAAACCAGAAGCAAACAGAGAAATATAGTTCTTGACTCATCTGGTTTTAACACAGAGTACGGCTGAGAATCATCTCCAGCATTTTATCCTGCTGGGTTTAATAAAGTTAAACCCAGAGGTCGGAGGTCAGCTCCATGTCAAACTGTTTCGGTCTCATTAACGTGTTTAAATGGATCCAGTTTGGTTCCTAAAGTCAGTAAACGTGTTTAGTTAAAGTCCAGATCTTAACGAACTCGGCTGTTTGTGCTGCAGAATAAATACAAGCAGAGCGGGAAGAAGTTCCTGTCGTCTAGTTTCTACGCTCAGCTGCCCCAGACTGCAGAGACGGAGCTCGCCGCCAAGATGGCCGACCTGCTGAGCGAGGTGAAAGGTCACATCCTGTTTGCTGGGTGGAAAAGGTTCCTGTGATCGTCCTGACTCTGCATCGTTTCGTCTTTTCCTGCAGAACAAATACAAAGAGGACGGCATGAAGAGCCGCTGCCACAGCCTGTACTCCCAGCTGCCGGAAACCACCGAGATCAACTTCGCTAAAACTGTTTCTGAGCTGCAGAGCGAGGTGAGGACCGCTCAGACCGGTACCAGTCCAAACCCACTTCCTGTCTGAACGTTTGGCTGATGATGGTTTGTTCAGGCTAAATACAAGGAGGCCAGCAGGAAGGAGGCGGGCCGATGCCGGTACCACCGGCTGGCTGAGACTCTGGAGACGCAGCACGCGAAGGAAGCAACGGAGCTGCAGAGTGAGGTACGGATCTGAGGACCGGTACCGGTCCAAACGAGCTGAACCTCCTGAGGTTCTGATGTGGAACCAAACTCCTCTTCCTCCTGGATTCACTGTCATCAGCCTGAAAACGTTTATTCAGCTCAGAGCTGAACTGTTGGAGTCCAGAGGTCATAATTCCTTCAGTCGCTGACCTCCATTTGATCAGGAGAAAAGGTCAAAGGTCGTTCTTTCCCCTCCACTTTGACCCCTGATCTAAACTGTGTCTGAACTGAACTGCAGCTCCTCCTCATCCGATGAGGCGTGACGTTCAATCTCTGGTTTGGTTGTTTAGCTGCTGAGCTGCTGCGTCTGATCCGGTTCAGATCCTGTAGAGCAGGAGTGTCAAACTCAATTTCACTGAGGGCCACTTCAGCATATTGGCCCCCTCAACGGGCCACATTGACGGTACAGATCAGGAGAGCATCCCTGCTAAAACACCCCAGACAAAAGGTTGACTTCCCTCATTCAGGTCTGTAGAGGCTCATAATGAGTCAATGGTCCAGGTGTGTTAGAGAAGGAACCATCTAAAGCTGCAGATGGTAGCTCTGGAAAACTAGACTTGGGCAGCCCTAGTATAAATGTATAAAAATACAATGTTAAAAATAAATTAAACACCTCATATTGTTATGTATTGATTTTATGTATTGAAGTTTTAAATATTACATTTGAGTTTCCATGGATGTAAAATTACTGCTCAGTTTAAAAATTACAATATTTAAATCAGTGTTTAAAGGTAAGCAAACAAATAATAAAAACAAGTCACATGGGCAGACATTATAGACTTTACACAAAGATTTAGTCTCAGAGGCAACTGAAATCAATTAATTAAAAAAATCCTTTCTGAATATCATCTCATGGTCTCTGAACTAAATGCGTCTTTCTGACCGGGAGCTGACAGCGTGTTGAAGAGTTATGGACCGGGCGCTTCGGAGCGTCTGGTTAGGAAGCGCATTACAAACCTTTGGTTGAAACGTAGTTTGTAGTCAATTTGTGCTCAAAACCTATTTTAAGTCAATCATCGGCCTATAAAATGCTGGGGGGCCACATGTGGCCCGCGGGCCTCGAGTTTGACAGTGCATTACGCCATAGAACTGCCAATTGGTAATTGAAGTACAGTAGCTGCGATTTCAAGGAAGCTTACATTGAAGTCGATTGGCAAATGAACCATCATGAAAGAAGAAGGCTCTTGTTGTCTCACTGCACCCCAAGAGATGCATAACCTACACAAACCGTTCCTGTCTGGTTTCGAACCAGAGACCTTTTGCATGTAAAGCAAACGTGATAACCACTACACTACAGGAACTGAACTTCTCTAGTTTGTTTCAGTTTGAGGTTCCAAAGTTGATGATGTGAGATGCAAAGAATGAAAATTTCAGCTGAGGTTTGCACTCAGATGCCTGGATTCAGAGTACAGACCATGACCCCACAGAACCTTGTTGACCTTTAGTAAACACCTGTGATGAATAGAACATGCAAAATCTGTTTCTGTCTGGTTTCGAACCAGAGACCTTTTGCATGTGAAGCAAACGTGATAACCACTACACTACAGGAACTCAGGCTGTTTGCAGTGTTCCTGGTAGATGATCCACATTTTGTTAGAGACTAATGTCTGATGGGCATGGAACAATGTCAAATACTTACACCACAGATCCTCTCAGAGAGCACAGTAACTTGGTGAACAAACTGTCAGACTTATAATTGTGCCTAATTTCACATTACACTCCATAAACTAAGCCTGGGATCAAACAATTGCATTGAAGATGTCATTAGCAGAGACAAATGGTTCTACAGAGACTTGGCTAAATGGCTAAAAAATAAAATCAATACTTACAAATAAAAAATGGTTAGGAAGCGCATTACAAACCTTTGGTTGAAATGGCGCGTTAAATTCAAGTCTCCATTACAGACCAGAGAAAACTAAAGAGAATGCAACGTTGAGGATCCATTTGAGGAGCCGGCAGTTTATCTTGAGGAAATAAATGACGATGGAGAAGTTAATTAGACTGTAACATGCGCAGTCCGCTGCTCAACCACTGCGGAATTAGAAAGAAACCGCTGGGAGTAACTCATCCAGCGGATTTAACAAATGGAGCCTTCTGGGTTCATGTTACCCAGGACAGCGGCGCTCTGGAGGAGCTGCAGACGTAACATCTGTCCGTTTCGGAGAAGCGAAACCACATAAATAAATAAATAAATAAATAATCCTGGTAAAAGCTCACACCGGACCGCGCAGGGTAAAACACTCACAGAGTTCAGTTGATCTGTTTGGATCAGACAGATCCAACTGACTAATGAATTAGCGCAGATTTTTCTGCAGATGGGAACCAGGAGGAAGTGCGTTCAGACCCCAGCGGGTGAAGTGATGCTAATTTAAGTGAAGTCGCTTAATTTAATTTATTAAAAGTTATTGGGGCCTCAGTCAGTGGTTTTTTTGTCACTACGGAGAAAAATGTAGATGCATTTATCTTCTTAATCTGTGATGGGATCTGGATTCACAGTGAATATTAACTAAACCGCATAAAATGCGACTAAATAGCCGATGTTAATATGATTGTAATTTCACGGATAAAAATAGTACATGACCGATTTTTTTTAATGTTGTCGGTCAAGATAACGTCTAGCGCGACCTGCCGCCCTGACACCAACATCTTCATTCACAGTCTTAGTTGTAAATCGGTTTTTCTTTTCTTGGACGTTTTGATGTTAGCTTGTCGGTCTTATTCGCTGGGAAAATCAATAAGCAGCTTGAGGTGACTCTGCTGCTCTCTAGTGGCGAGAAGCCATAATGTTGGCTGGTGGCAATCGGAATGCATTATGGGAGATGTAGTTTGTAGTCAATTCGTGCTCAAAAGTCAATCGTCAGCCTATAAAATGCTGGGGGGGCCACATAAAATGACATGTGGCCATTTTATGGCGGACCGCATGTGGCCTGCGGGCCTTGAGTTTGACACATGTGCTGTAGAGATTCTTCAGATTCCTCCTCTGGTTCCGTCACAGAATCATTCACAGGAACCAACTCAGTCAGGAAGCAAACCCAAAGTCTGAAATCAACATTGAGAACGAAGGGGTTTGGATATATTTTTAAACAGATTTTGTATCAAACTTTGCAGCCAAATTTGTTTCTGATCTGCAGGTGAAATACAGAGACGGCAGGAAGCAGCTGAGCTGCAGCCTGTTCTCTCTGCTGCCAGAGACCGATGAGATGAAGTTCGCCAAAGCTGTGATGGAGCTGCAGAGCGAGGTGAGGGTCAGGGAGAGGAGCTCAAAGTTTAAATATGTTTAAACTTGTTTAATCATCAGTATAACTTTATTTTGTTCCAGAATAAATACAAGCAGAAAGGCAGACAGGAGATCAGCAGCTCCGCTTTCCACCAAATGCCTGAAACCAAAGAGACGGAGTTCGTCAAGCAGCTCTCAGAAAGACACAGTGAAGTGAGACAGTCTGACATTTTAATGAGTTTTCACAGAATGCAGTAAGGGTATATTTATTCATATTCATTATTTGTGTTTCTGTCATAATCGCAGTATAAGAAGGATCTGGAGGATCTGCCCAGCTCTCTGTTCTCTCTGCTGCCTGAAACTCTGCAGACGCAGTTTGTTAAAGAAATGGCCGAGACGCACAGCGAGGCGAGTTCAGGAACAATCTGAGTTATTACAGCGAAGAAAAACCATTTAGATCAGATTACAGATTATTACAGCAAAAACCTGGTCGTCTTACTGAGAGATATTGTTTCTACATTCACTCTGATTATATTGGTTAGGAAATATGACTACAGGCTGTAGTACAGAATGTTTTAATGTTCAAAATCTTTAATGATGCTGTAACCTAAAGCAAGGTAATATTAGTTTTATTTTATTTTTCCAGAATAAGTACAAGGAGGCCAGTAGGAAGGAGCTGGTTAAATCTCTGTACTCTCAGCTTCCTGAAACCAAAGAAACTCAGCATGCGAAGGAGCAAACTCAGCTGTGCAGCGACGTACGTCCAGCTCACCCCGAGGCTCATGTCATCTGGCTTCATTCACCGCTTAATGTCTCTTATTTCAACGAGGAGAAAATTAAACCTGCTCCTCTGAACCGTTCTGCATCTTTCAGCTCCGTTAGTTTCTTCTTGTCTTGTTGCAGAAAGCGTACAGGGAGGAGGGCAGGAAGGAAGCGGGTCGCTGTCTGTACGCCCAGATGCCCCAAACCATCGAAACCGTTTTCGCCAAGGAGGTGACCAAGACGCTGAGCGACGTAAGGCCAGAAACAAGAAACATTTATGATTTAAACTCTTTATTAAAGCAGGATTCACCTTGCTGGATCAGATTTGATAAACACCGGGTTCTCTGTTGGTTTTTATTATTATTATTATTATTATTATTATTATTCCTGATTTGCTGGTCTGAAGGACCTGATGTAGCAGATCTTCTCCACATCAACATGACTGGATGTTAGCAGATCAAATCAAACCTGAAGGTCTCTGAATCTTTTCCTAATTAAACCTGAGCTACACCCTTCCTCCACCTCCTCGCCTCGTTAGCGCCACCTGGGGGACCAGCATCACCTGACAGGAAGCGAGTTGACAGAGTCTCAGTGGTAAAATGTGGGGATGCTCTGGAGCAGATGGAGGGTTTATTTGCCCCTCTGCCCCGGTGGGGGTGTGATGGGAGCTCTGCTGTTTTATCTGCAGCAGCTGCTGCCTGGAGGCTCAGACTGACCTACTGACCCCAAACCAGAAACACGGCGCAGCGGCCTCAGGCTCAGATATTAATGATAGATTTTAGTTTTATTGAGCGTAAAAAAGACACTAAATCTTTTATTTAAAATATACAAAAATCAAAACATTTAATTAATGTTTTGATGAGGAAGAAAATCGCATTTTAAAATAAAAACAGATGGCATCTCTACCAATCTACATGAAATAAAACAACAGTATTCTATAAGTTGATCAGTCTGAGATTTGAAGTGATAATTTATTACTTCCTGTGACAGACATACATTTTATTTATCAAGTCTTCAAAATGGGAAAAGCAGCAGAACATCTAATTCACCTGAGGCAGGTGTGACGATCTCAAGTCAGGAAGTGGCTACAAAAAATGCTAACTAGCTGCACTGGATCCAAATAAAGTCTGAACATCATTAAATAATAATCATTTTCTCATACGACTTTATTTTGGCTCATAATAAATAAAAACCATAAAATCTTCGTTTCATTCTTTCCTTGTTTTCCTGCAGCAGTAAAACTCTTTGCTGTGATTCTTTTAGTTGCTCTGATTGTTTCCAGGTGAATCATGTTAAAACTGATCTGAGCTGCAGCTCCACACATGATGACGGTCTGGTTGCTGTGGGTGAACTGGGTGAACTGGGACGGAGGCCTGATGCTTTGCTGGTTTCAGGTCACCTGACTGAGCAATGCCTCACCAACTGGAGCGTAGCATCAGAGCCTCCGTCCGTCTGCGTCTCCAGGCGGTTAAACTGTGTCGTCTCTCTCCACTTGAGCCAAATATCAGCCAATCAGTGACTGCGTCTCATTCTGCGTCTGCAGAAATCCTACAAGGAGAAGTTCAACCGTGAGAAGGGGAGGAGCGACTACAGCAGCATGAAGACGCTGCCGGAGGTGGAGCACGCCATGGAGGTCGCCAAGAAGCAGAGCCATGTAAACACGCCGTTTCCACGGCAACACAAACACAACCTGGGCCGATATGTTGCAGCCTGGATGATATTCACACAGATTATTTTAACTCCTTCACCTGCCTGTGACTCTGATCTCAGGTCAGCTACAGGTCAGGCAGAGAGGAGCTGCAGCGCTACAACCCGGCGCCCGACCGGCCCGACATCATCAGCGCCGCCAACGCAGCCAAGCTGGCCAGCGACGTGAGTCCGCTACACGTCCCATCATGCTCTACATCAGTTTCCATGACAACAGCCGTGTTAGCAGCCGTCCTCTGAGGGTGAAGATTAATTATAGAAGACGCTGAAGACGAACTCGTGTTCGCTTTAAATGAGTCCATGAATGTTTTACAGGACAGATGTGAGTTCAGCAGCTTTAACTCAGGATTTGTTTGAGCCGTCAGCCAGCCGGGAGGTGTTCAGGTGTCCAGGTGTTCAGGTGTCCAGGTGTTCAGGTGTTCAGGTGTCCAGGTGTTCAGGTGTTCAGGTACCTGAACACCTGAACACCTGATGGAGGAGTTTAACCAACTGGAGCAGAACAAGATGGAATGAAAACTAATTCTTCTATTTTTGTGCTATTTTTGTGATATTCATGAATTTATTTATGTTTTATGAATATATTTTCCTTTCCAAGCCGTCAGCCTTAAACTCGGCAATATCAGATCTGTAGGGCCTGATATTGAACCTACTGGAAATCAAACAGAATCAGTCTGAAGCAGACCCTCAGGAATCCTGCAGAAAGATTAAAACAGCAGAGTCTGTCTGCCTGGAGGGAACCAGAACCGGGTCAGAACCGGGTCAGAACCTGCTGTGATCCACAGGTTGCCTATAAGCGCAGCTCCAAGCAGCCGGTCTACAGCGATGGATCCGTCCTGGACAGAACCGACATCCTGCAGGCCAAGCAGGCCTCCAGGTTGGCCAGCCAGGTAACACACAGAGCCTACACCTGACCTGACTCACCTGCAGGGGGCGCTCACCTCTCTGTCCTGCAGGTGAAGTACAAGGAGAGCTTCGACCGGCTCTTAAAGGGCCAGCGGCCGCGCTACAACCCCATGGACTGCGTCTCCTTCAAACACACACAGGCTGCAGCTGCTCTGGCCAGTCAGGTGGGGGCGCCATCTCTCACTGCTGAGCTGTGAGTTTTCATTACACCGTGGACAGGGGGTCAGAGGTCACAGCTTTTCAGCTGCTTTAATCGGTCTGTCTGCCAGTCAAAGTCCGGTTTGGTTGGTGAAGTGTGAACGCTAAGCTAACTCTGGTCCTCCAAACCTCAGTCTGGGTTCGGTTTCAATGTGAACACCAAGCGGACTGGAGACCGCTCCAACCATCAGCCAATAGCGTGTTGAGCTTCTCAAAATGCATTTATTTTAAATATTTTAAATATTCTCCACAGAAAACATCTGAAAATAGGCGAGAGTCTGATAAGAACCTGAACATGACGCTGCTTCACTTCCAGAGTCAGTTGTGTTTTTATGACAGGAAGAAGATCCTAAAGATCCTAAAGAGGGCAGATCCCTCAGAGCCCTTTGATCCCTCTGATCTCTCAGATCACTCTGATCCCTCTGATCTCTGTGATCCCTCTGATCTCTGTGATCCCTCTGATCTCTCTGATCCCTTTGATCTCTTTGGTCTCTCAGATCCCTCTGATCCCTCTGATCCCTCTGATCTCTCTGATCCCTTTGATCTCTCAGATCTCTCTGATCTCTCTGATCCCTTTGATCTCTCTGATCCCTTTGATCTCTCAGATCCCTCAGATCTCTCTGGTCTCTCAGATCCCTCTGATCTCTCAGATCTCTTTGGTCTCTCAGATCTCTCTGATCTCTCTGGTCGTTGGTTTTCCTCCAGACTCTTTCTCTCCGTTTCTCTGCAGCCTCAGAGATAAACAAGCCCAGCAGGAACAGGCTGTGTCTGTTGGTGTTGTTCGCTCTCTGAGATCCAGTCTGTTGAGTGGGCGTAACCATGGCAACCCCTTTTTAAAGCGAACAGAGAGGCGCTGAGCGATGAACAGTGGGAGGAGGTGAAGAGGTTACAGGCAGACACACACAAACAAGGCGAAAACTGTTGGAGCTGACCTCTGACCCCAGATCGGGTCCTGATCTGATCTCCCATCTGATCGTTGATGTAAACGCGTCTCCACACACACACACACAATCACACACGCACACACACGCACACACAACCACACACAGTGACACACACACACACACAGTGAGTGTGATGCTCCCTCACACTCGGCCCGGTCTGGCGCCCACGCTGCGTTACATAACGGCCCGTTGTTGTGTTCAGATCGCTGCAGAAGCTTTTCAGTGAACCTGAAAGGAGACCAGCAGATTGTTTACTGGTTTACTGGTTTCAGCAGGTTGGCTCCAGTTGGAGCTGCGCTGGCAGCCGGACAGGAAAACCTTTACAGAAATGAAAGGTCGTCTCCTGGAGGTTCAGGACATTAAAACCAGATTATTGGTTCAATTATAATCATTTACTGGTTTTGTTACTTTTTTCCTAATGATTTTTGATAGATTTATGGGAAATTAGAGAAGAAAGCATGTTTTTCTTTAAAAATCTGGACTATAAAGGCAGATCGCCCTGAAAGGTTTTGATTCTCTACAGGAGATTCTGTGGATGGTGAACTAAACCTTCACGTTTCTCAGTTAAACATCAAGATGGTTTTAAAACCAGGAAAGCTTCTGGAGTCTGACTTAAAATATCTGGACAAAACAAAACCGGTTCTTTCTTAGGATGTTATTTGTTTTTGTCTTTGTTTCTGAATTTGCTGCATTTATTTATTTAATCTTCCCTGTAACTTTAAAAAGAAATGACTGAGTATTTGGAAATCACCTGATACTTTTTAGAATTTTCCCAAAATTTACTGATTAATTTTCTGAACTTACATTAAGGAAAGAAAAATTACCAGTAAAGCTTTGAAAGTCCCAGTTTGGTCAAATACGCAGCAAGTTCTGGATTGTAAAATGAAAATATAAAACTTTTTACATTTTCTCAAAGTAATAATGAATCTCCTGATGTGATGCTGAAAACACCTCAGAGTTTTTCTTCTCTACTTTTTAAACTTCTGAACGTTTCTTGGTGTTTATGTCGTTCTTTACTTCATAAATTGTCCTCAGATAAAACCTCCAGCTCCTCTCTGTAACCGGTCCTGTTTGCTCCAGGTGAAGTATAAAACCAACCAGAACCAGAGGCCTGAAGGCTCGTCGGACCTGCCCAACCTGCTGCAGCTGGAGCACGCCCTGCAGGCCAGCAAGCTGCAGAGCAACGTAGAGAAACCCACAAACCTTATTGATTCTTTGATTTCATATCAGTGGCTGATTATCATCCAATGATCCTCAGAGATAATCAACTTCCTGTTTCCTCAGCTGGAGTACAAGAAGAAGTACGAGCAAACCAAGGCCCACTACCACATCGCCGTGGATACGGCGGAGCAGCAGCACCACCGGGAGAACGCCGTGCTGCACAGCCAGGTACCAGTCACACTGAGCCAGACTGGTTTCTATGGCTTTACTGGTTTCTATGGCTTTACTGGTTTCTATGGCTTTACTGGTTTCTAACATGCTGCTGTTTTTAGGTGAAGTACAAGGAGGAGTATGAGAAGAGCAAAGGACGCTCTCTGATGGAGTTTGGAGAAACTCAGAGCTATAAAGTATCTAAAGAGGCTCAGAAGATGCAGAGCGAGGTAACAAGCTGAACGTCACCTCCTAGTGGTCAAACAGCAGAATGCAGCTAACTGAGTTTTACTGTGTTTAATCAAAGATTTAAATGTTTGGAAGAACTTAAAGGAGAAATGATCAGAGATGGATTCAGGAATGTTTTATGTTTCAGAGGGAATCAGGAATGTTTTGTGCTTCAGAAGGGAATCAGGAATGTTTTATGTTTCAGAGGGAATCAGGAATGTTTGTGTTTCAGAGGGAATACCGCAGGGACTTTGAGGAGCAGGTGAAGGGCAAAGCTTTGCTGGAAGTGGATCAGACTCCAGGATTCCTGGCGGCCCGGAACGCCAGCAGCCTGCTGAGCGAGGTACCGAACATTACAGCCTGATGGACTCCATGTTCGTATCCCAGCTTTCATCTCCTCCATGGGAATCAGCTGGAATCAAACTGAAAATATTTTTATTTAATTTGAGGATTTTCAGATGCCTGAGAATATAAATGTTCTAAATGTTAAAGAAGGTTTTCTGAATGTTTGCCGTTAGAAATAGATGATGCGTCACATGGACCGTCACCACATGGCTTTTCTTATACTGCCCCCTACTGGCTGAAGATGTGCAACAATTAAAAAAAATCTAATTATAAATGAGAAGATAATAAAATTAAATAAATGCATGAGGAACTGCTTCACTAACTGAGGAAATATTAAGTTAAATGTGTTTAGACTTGTATATACTTTAAAGATAAATCATTAATGTTTTTACTAAAGGTAAAATTTATTCATTAGATTTTATTTTTGCAGGTGATTTATTTAGACAGATATTCATTTATTAGTGGAAATGTTTTAACAAATAATTGTTGAAGTAATGTTTAAAGGAAACAGGAAGTCAAATATTTGTACATTTAAAAAATAATTTAATTAATATATTTATTTCATTTTACGTCGTTAAACTTTCCATATTCAGTTTTATAAAATTCACTTCCAATCAGACCAATTTATTCCAGTTTAATCAAACGTTCAGATTTAAAGTGAAATTAGTTGATCAGAAGGAAGAAGTAAAAATAGATTTTAGTTATTTTCTTAATCAAATGAAAAATGATTAAACGGTTTATGATCTGGATCTGAACTCACTAACCAGGAGTCGTTTCTGCAGAAGGCGTACAGGAAGGACCTGGAGCAGGAAGTGAAGGGGCGGGGCTTATCTGGGGTCGGCCTGGAGGAAACGCCCGAGCTTCTGAGGGTGAAGAAAGCCAGTCAGATTCTGAACCAGGTGAGACCGGCCAGAACCAAAACCAGGAAATAAAACACTGTGAGTCTGAGTGCAGGGTTTTGTCTCTGCAGAAGGAATACCGGCGGGATCTGGAGACGGAGATCATGGGGAAAGGGATGGAGCTGAGCGCCGACGTCCTGGAGATCCAGAGAGCCACCAGGGCCTCGCAGGTCCAGAGCCAGGTACCGAACCACCAGGCGCTGACGGGTTTAAGAGTCATCAGCAGGATTACAGAGGTCTAAACCCTGGCATCAGCTTTTAAAGATAAAACTGTTGGTAAAATCAACCAAAGTATTAAATATTAAACTGAAAATCTGGACGATCTTCATGTCTACTGACTTTAAAATGTCCATAGTTTTATTTCAGGGCATCGTTCACACAGGCTGCAGGCAGAAACGGGACAGCTCTGGGTCTTTTAAACTCAGTTAGGCTGCAATCCAAAGCAGTCCACAACAAATAAATGCAAGAAGAATCACATAATAACAGCAATATGGAACAACAATCATGTTTAATGTAAAATCTGTGACATCAGATTCCCTGATGTTTGGAGGCTTTCTGTGTGGTTTTCTTTTCTCTAAATATTTATTTAGAGTAAATATTATTAAATCAGCCAAACAAGTGAACAGTAAAGTTCGTAACATTTCACCAAGTGTTCAAACAGTGTAACAAGGTAACTGGTAATATACACTACTCAAAAAAATAAAGGGAACACTCAAATAACACATCCTAGATCTGAATGAATGAAATATTCTCATTGAATACTTTGTTCTGTACAAAGTTGAATGTGCTGACAACAAAATCACACAAAAATCATCAATGGAAATCAAATTTATTAACCAATGGAGGCCTGGATTTGGAGCCACACACAAAATTAAAGTGAAATGTTCCCTTTATTTTTTTGAGCAGTGTATATATTAGGATTATTCATCTTTAAATTGTTTTTTCCCATGAACTTAAAAAACAAATAAATTAAAAACTCAAACAGAAACTAACTAAGCTAATTAGTTTTTAATTAGCTTTACTTCCCGTTCTGACCTGATGTGAAGCAGAGCTGGGATTTGTGACGCGCCTGCAGATCATCATATTTTATCATAACTGTGTTGATGTTCTTCAGACATCGTACAAACAGACGGAGCAGCTGAGGGAGAACTCGTACGGGACGCTGACCGACACGCCGGCGCTGCTGCACGCCTCCTACCTCAAAGACGTCTACAGCCAGGTCCGCCTGCAGACACGCACTTCCGTCTGCTCCCTGTAGGGGGCGCCACCTTCCAACCGTCTGCATCTCTGCCTCTTGTGTTGTTAATCCTATTCTCACTAAAACTCTACATCACAGATCATTTCACCGCCTTTAGACACTTTAATAATAATGATGATATTTAATAAAACGGCTCCATTCTGTGTTTCTGTAGAAGAAGTACAAGGACGAGGCGGAGCAGCTGAAGGGTCGGTACCGCCTGGTGTCAGAAACCCCGGAGATGGAGCGGGTCCGAGCCAACCAGAGACACATCAGCTCTGTGAGAACCAGAACCTGACGGCCCCATGCGCATCACTTCCTGTCCTCTGACCGGCTCTCTGTCGCCACCTAGCTGCGGTACTGCTGGGACTCCAAGCTGATGAGAGGCCTGACAGCGTCGGTCGCCGAGACGCCGGAGATCGTCCTCGCCAGAGAGAACGCCAAGAAGATCAGCGACGTACACTCACACACACTCACACACACACACATACGCACACACACACACACGCACACACACAATAACGCACGCGCACACACACACACACACACACACACACGCACACACACACATACGCACACACACACACGCACACACACAAAAACGCACACACACACACACACAGACACAGACACACACACACACACACACACACAGCTTGTTGTTTAACACGCTTAAACTGCAGATTTTCTAGTCAGTCCACAAAACACAAGCAAAAAAAATGTACTGTAAAAAGTGACGAAGGAGCTGAATTAGATAAAATGAACCAAAACATGAAACTGTGAACACAATTGACTGATAAACTGATCATTTTTATAATAAAATTGTTATCAGATTTGTAATATTTTAGTACTTTTACTTTGATAGTTTCAGCAGCTATTTTACTATTTTTTAAGGATGTTTCCAGTTTTTTCTTTACTCCTGATGAATCTTTGTTTGTTTTCTAGTTTCCCTCTTTATCTCCTTTTTTATTTTTAAACATTAATTATTTTTCAAGCATAAATCGACTGAAACCTGAAAAATCCAAAAGGTTTTTCAGGATGTTTGGTGCAGATCATGTAAATAAGAAGGAATCAGAAATGGATCAGAACTGGTTAGTAAACTCGGTGTGTGTGCAGCGGCTGGCTGACCTCTGGTTCTGTTCAGGTCCAGTACAGAGAGGAGGTGGGTCATGGTACTCCAGTCATGGACACACCTGAGATGGAGCGAGTCCGACGGAACCAGGAGAACATCAGCTCAGTGAGTAGGAGGTCCAGAAACATGCTGGTTCTGGTGGAACCGCAGAGATCCGACACAGAAAGATGAGCTGATAGGAGAAAAATGTTCCGTACATTAGAATCTGTTTCCTGAATCTAATCAGGTGAAGTACAGGCAGAGCACCAAGGCCTGCAGCGTGGGAGTGACTCCAGAACTGGAGCGGGTCAAACAGAACCAGCAGAACATCAGCTCGGCAAGACACACACACACACACACACACACACACACTCTGCCTCCATTACGTATCCGTCCGTTCTAAAGTAAAACATCCAGAACCTTTGGGTCCCACCTGGTAACAGGAAGGTAACGTCGGGCGCCATGTTGGTTCTCTGATTCCTGCCTGTTTACTGACCAGCGGTTTGATTTCTGTCACAGGAAGCTCGTTTATGGGCGACCCCTGACCCATAAACCTTTGCTCCTCGGTAACCTGTGTGTCTGAACAGGTCCGGTACCAGCGCGGCCTGCAGGAGCTGAGGGGGCGGAGCCTCAGCGAACTGGACACGCCCGAGTACCGGCGGGTCAGGCGGACCCAGGACTCGGTCTCCATGGTAGCGGCCCGGTTGCCGTGGCAACCCGAGTGTCATGGCACAGAGGGTGGGGCCGCTGCACGGACACTAACCCCCACCTGCAGGGAACGAGGTCACCATAGTAACGGAAACACAGAGGAGTGTTTTCATTTAACAACCTGATGTTTGGGTTTTATCTGCTCACTGACCAAATGCACCCTGAGCTGCGTGTGTGTTGGAGTGTGTGTTGGTGTGTGTATTGGTGTGTGTATTGGTGTGTGTATTGGTGTGTGTTCCCTCCTCTTCAGGTCACCAGCATCTCTCCGTTTGCTCCTCCAGGCTAAGTACCATGAGGACTTTGAGCGGACCCGCGGTCGGGGCTTCACGCCGGGATTGGACGATCCCAGCATGGAGCGCTACCAGAGAGCCAATCAGATGATGGGGGAGGCGGCCTACGCCAAGGGGATCCACCCCCAGGCAGTGGAGATGGACCGGCGGCCCGGAGGCATCATCGTAGGTCAGTGAAGGAGCGAGACGCCGAGTTTGAAGAACGAATTCAGACGAATCCTTCTGCCTGAGGCTGGTGGAGGAAAACGGACTGGAAATATTTAACTGTGTGTTCAGGGTGTGATTTCTGTTGGTGGGCAAATGAAAAGTAGCAGGAGACGAAAACATGTAAAAATAGGTCCTTTAGTTTAACCTGTTAGAATCAACATGGCAAAGACACAACCAAAACTGTCAGCAGATGGCGCTATTACCCCCAAAATGACTCCAAAATCAGCTTTCTTTCTTCCTTCTTCCTGGAAATTATAAGGAGATACAAAGATTGAGTTGGTTTAGTATAGTTTGTGATATTTCCTTCAAAACTGGAAACTATAAGCTGTTTCTTTTAGTTTCTAGATTGTTTTGCCTCAACAGACAAAAGTTGTTGATTTTTTTTATAGCTTTTCAACAACCATTTCTACATTAACAGTTTTCATATTTAATTTTTTCTTCCTACCAGTGAAATGTTCCTGTTGCCACTGACTTCATATCGTTCTCCTTCCATCTTCAGATTGAATATTTTGGATATAAAATCATTTTTATGTGTTTTTTCTGTTGAGGTTTTAGGGAGAAGTTTTTATTCTCGGATCTTTACACATTTTACTGTAAAATCTGATTCTTCTGCTTTCTAAATATTTTATCTGTTTTCAGGATCATTCAGCAGTAACTGGAACATTTTTCTGTTTATTCTGGTTTTATTGCAGTTGTAACTCAGACTAATGTGGTTTATGGACTGAATAATGTTTCTCCCCCTGTGAAGACCTGAAGGTGTGGAGGACAGATCCAGGCTCCATCTTTGATTTTGACCCTGTAGAGGACAACATTCAGTCCAAAAGTCTGCGCAGGATGTCGGGTAGATGAGCGAACGTTTCAGCCTCGTGTTCAGAACAACTAAAAACACGTTTATTATTTAACGTGATTTAATTTTAATTCACCAACACGCCTGCTGACTGATCAAAATGTTTCACAGTTTAAAACACGACTGGATTTAGAAACATCACCGATAAATCAGCATGTTGTTATCTGCATGTTGTTGTTCTGTTTGCTTCATTATAATTACCAAAATGGAAAATATGTCAATGCCATTCATAGAACAAAAACAGATAATTATAGAGCCACAAAAACAATGGAAATAAAATGTCATTATGTGTGAAAACAATCTGAAAAATTTATTTATTTAGTACAAAAGAAAAAACTGAAGCAAGTGAGGAGTAGAGGTAGGAAAATGGTTAAAACAAGACTCCCAGATTAAATGTTTTGGTTTTAAAAAACTATATTTATACTTATAATAATCAAACCTTAAGAATAAAATCTTAAAGTTCAGACGAAAAGCAGCAGCTGTTTTATCAAAGTTAATTTATAATCTGAGTGATTTAGATTCAGTTAAAATTCAGCTGTGATGTAATAACTTATAAATTTATATTTAAGCATTTTGAACTCAGGACTCATATATTTTACAGATTCACAGCAGTGAAGCACCAAAGAGAAAAATAATAAAAACAGCCTAACTTGAACATTTCAATATATTCTGAAATAAAATATGTTTATTGTGGAAAAAGAAACAGAAACTGTGAAATAAAATCACCAGTTTCTTTCCGGTTCAAACATAACCAGTTGTTAAACTGTTTATTCATTCAGGTTCAATGAATTGTTTTATATTCAATAACTGATCAATAACTGAACTATTCCTTTACAAACTGAATATTCCATTAACATCCAGGTCTTTAAATAATTAATAATCGTGTTCCTTCATATTAACCCGACTAACTGCTGTTTTTAAAAACCAGAAATTTGAATTATTTTTTCCTTTTTCTCTCCTCTTGCTCTGCGCTGCCACCTGGTGGCGGCCGCCTGGCAGAGCGCTCCGGCAGCAGGCTGAGCAGCCAGCTGTCCCAGCAGTCTGCCAGCTCTGTGACCTCTGACCTCTGGGACTGCAGCGGCAGCAGCACTCCTGGTATCTGTGGCCTCCCATCAGAGAAAACCTGATTTCTAACCTTTGACCTGAGTCTTCCTCAGACAGACTCACCTTCGTCTTCCTCAGAGGACAGGATGGGACGCTGCAGGATGCTGACCTTCTCTCTCTCTCTCTGTGTGTGTGTGTGTGTGTGTGTGCAGCTCCCGTCCTGCCCGGTGCGTACCACCACCATCATCATCATCAGGGCGTCCAGCAGCAGCCGCAGTTCCACGGCTACATGCATCAGACCAGCATGTCGTCGGTCCGATCCGTCACCTCACCGCCGCACTCCGCCACATCGGTACGCCGCTGAGCGCCGCGCATCACACACTCACACACCTCCATAAAGTATTCACACCCCTGATCAAGATGCTAACCACAACAAAACGGTTCTTAAAGGTTTTATATGTAAAAAGTTGTTTTGTTTCAGCAAAAATGTAGCTACGCACTTTTCAGATCTGGTTATGGAAGAAAACCAGTTAGTAACCAGCAGAAGAGCTGAGCCTGGACTGGACAACAGCAGCCTGAGATATTATGGGATGTTTGGATCAGAAGGTCTGCAGCCTCCAAACGGCCGTTTGGCCCTCAGTCCATAACGCTGAGTCAGACCAAACTATGTTTATTTAGTCCTTCTAGTTTTTCATAGAAATTCACTCAAAATGAACAGAACCCTGCATTTTTTTACCCACTAATTTATAATTTCAAGTTTGTTGAAAAGTTCCTGCAACAATGGTGAAAACATTGGTTTGAAGTGATACTGACTCCTGCCTGCAGGTGGCAGTGTTTCTTACTGCTACTCCACTGCTGACTCGGCATGACTTGATGCTAAGTAACAAACATCGAGCTGTTAAGGTTTTATAAAGAATTAAAATGTTTGGTCAATCAAAACAAGGCCAATCTGCCTGCTTGTTTTGTTTTCTATTTGTACATTTTGGAAACTGTTTAATAAAAATCACAAAATCCTAAAGTAGCAACAGAAAATCAGTGATTCTGACTGAACCAAATGCTGAATACGTCTGAAAACGTTTAGGAGAGCTGAAATGATTTTCCGTCCTCTCTGAGCGGCTGAACCAGGCTGAGGTTTTCTCCGTCCCCTGCAGCGAGTTTACCGGGCGCTGTACGACTACGCGGCCCAGGACCACGACGAGGTGTCCTTCAGGGACGGAGACGTCATCGTCAACGCCCAGCCCATCGACGAGGGCTGGATGTACGGCACCGTGCAGCGGACCGGCAAGTCCGGCATGCTGCCCGCAAACTACGTGGAGTGTTGCAACTGAACAGGGAGGAAGAGGAGGAGGAGGAGGAAGAGCCGGCGTCCTTCAGGGTGAAAACTTTCAACGCTCTCAGATGCTGGTGATGTTTTTATTTCAGGGGTCCTTTATGTTCCACCAGCTGCAGAAATGACGTCCAACATGTTCTCCGCTGAACCTTTTAGTCATCAGCCAGTCAGACGCTTGGAAGTTCACTGAGGAAGAGGAGGATGTGTGAGAGAGGCTGAGGTTCTGATCAACCACAGGAAAGAAAATTAGTTGGAGGGTAAAAAGAGCTCTGATGGTTAAGTGAACTGAGACAAACTGAAATAGGTGGTCTAGTCCAAGTTTCAGGTTGAAGTTATGTGATATTTCTTCCTCTATGTCTGTTTTTTGTTGTTGTTTTTCTCTGTCTCTGTCTCCACACATCGCTGTCCACACTAATTCACTCAGATCTAATCTGGATGATTTTCCTTCCACTAAACTTTCTGACAAAGTGAAAGGAAGCAGAAAGTTTCATGATCAGAACGAACTGAAAGAAAAAGTTTCCGTCCTGAAGATGCTGTTAGCAAACAAAGCTACATCCACTCTGACACTGGATTATAATCCCAGATTATTTTATTTTATTTAATATTTAGTAATTAACACGTTTACGTTTTATTGGCTGATTTTCTGTAACTTTTATTCATGTATTTAAAAATGAAGGGAGCATTTTCACACAGATTTATCTGATTTTTATGTGAGTTAGTGTCTCAAATTTAAGTAACTGACAACTTAATGTTTATTATTTTTGTTTTATTAATATTTATAAATTCATTTTAATTATTCGCGTCCTGTATAAAGATGCCTCCTCTGTTACTAAAGTTATAAATATTATGTAACAGATTAGCCCATTATTTATCTTAGCTTTTATTCAAAACGGGAAAAACGAGAGAATAAATTCGGACAGATTCACTGATCGGCTGCAGCTGCTTGATCCAAACTGAACCTGAAGAGAAGGAAGAACTCTGGATGATCTGAGAGATTAGAAACGTTAGAGGACAGAAAGAGAGACACAAAGGATTCTGTTAGAAACAAGAGTTTATTAAAATAAGACTGTCTTCTGGATAAATGATGGATTTTCTGCTGCTGCAGGATTTTATGCGTCTCTGCAACAGAAGCAAATAAAAACATTATCAGTCATGTTTCCTGAAATTAAACATATATTTAATAAAAACCTACATATTTTTACAGTGCATTGAGGACAGTTTAGTTTTAGTTTAGTCAATGACAAACCAGTGAGGCTGTATTTAATGGACCTACTGGTTCCCAGTGATGAAACCAGTTGAGTTTTTCTCTTTGGACATGAAGTTTAAATATTTCCTTTTCTACATTTTTCCTGATAAAATCAAAATATCTTCAGGTTCAACAGGATCAGTTGTTTCTCTAAATGACAAACTGAATATGCAATGTGTTGGTTATTTAACGGTGGCCATATTTAACCGTTTCAGGTAGGTCCGTGTTAAAGTCAGCCAATAAAACGCGTCTTCTCATGACCTTCA